TTTTTTTTTGAGACGGAGCTTTGCTCTTGTTGCCCGGGCTGGAGTGCAATGACGCGATCTTGGCTCACTGCAACTTCTGCCTTCCAGATCCAAGCGATTCTCCTGCCTCAGCCTCCCGAGTAGCTGCATGGAATGCACCACTATGCCCAGCTAATTTTGTGTTTTCAGTAGAGACGGGGTTTCACCATGTTGGCTAGGCTGGTCTCGAACTCCTGACCTCAGGTGATTCACCTTGTCTTCCCAAAGTGCTGGGATTACAGGCGTGAGCCACTGTGCCTGGCCACTAAATCTCATTATTAATGTCACCATTTTAATCAGGTCACTAATAAGTGATAATTTTTATTGCTTATTAACCATATTGTTTGTAGATTGCTTGAAAATACCCCTTATGTTTTCCTTTTGGAGTGATTATCTCTTTCTGATAAATTTATGGAGCATTATTACTTATCAAGAATATTAACCCTTTGCTTTCTAATTTTACTTATGTATGTTTGACATGGCATGTACTTTTTTGGGTAAAATTTTTAAAAACTATACCCCTTAAAGAAATTCTGAATGTAAAGCTCAAACAAATAAAAGCACTACTATTTAATGAAAAGACAATCATTGACTATAAATCTAAATGGTCCTACCCAAAATTTATGAAAGTCCCTACAGAACTTAGAGCTTCCCTTTTTATGATTTTGCACAATTTTCAATGTCATAAAAAAGGCAATGCTAAAAATATTATTCAAACTCCTTGTCCTCCTTTTAAGAGACTAGTTGAAGCTGTCTTTGACATTCTCTACACTAAAGGAATTAGGAAGAGAGTTATGTTTTTAAAGTGGTATTATTTTAGTTTTAAAATACATATATTTTTTGTTTTTATTTTTTTGAGATGGAGTTTTGCTCTTGTCGCCCAGGCTGGAGTGCAATGGCATGATCTTGGCTCACTGTAACCTCTGTCTCCCGGGTTCAAGCGATTATCCTGCCTCAGCCTCCTGAGTAACTGGGATTACAGGCATGTGCCACCATGCCTGGCTAATTTCGTATTTTTAATAGAGATGGGGTTTCTCCATGTTGGTCAGGGTGGTCTCAAACTCCCGACCCCAGGTGATCCACCCACCTCGGCCTCCCAAAGTGCTGGGATTACAGGCGTGAGCCACTGTGCCTGGCTAGATTTTATTTTTTAAACTTACGTTAGTTTGGAACTCCACTCTGGCATTCTGTCATGCTTTTTGCCATTTTAGAAAGTAGTGTCACCACTTTCCTTTGTGTGCTTAATGTTTTCCTTCAACTAATTTCTTGGCTTTTATGAAACTGCTTATTATTTTTATTTTATTCTTGCATAGGAGGCTGATCCAACAGAATAATATCTAATTATAGCACCATGAGATGGCAGAACGGAATGTCATATCTGTAGACTTTTGACAGGAAAGTGAGTATGTGTGTGTTTTTGAGACCTCTTACTCCATCTTGTGGTGATACAATTATATCATTACTCTTGCATTCCTGATAGTCATATGTGTGTCTCACAACTCATTACGTGGTTAGGCATTGCCCTAGTTATTATTAAATTTGCATTAGTTATTTGGTTATGAGTAAATATATATGATAACATTAAGACTTGTGTATAATTAAAAATGGAAATCCTATTGCTTTGGTATTTTGTCCTTTCACTTAAGAGTTTGAAGTACTTCATTAGCATTATTTTTTTTATTAACTCTCTTGAGATGTGAACAAAGCAAGCAGATTTTAAGGTATATCTCCTGGCTAACCTAAGCCATGTAGTTAAGTCACAGAGCAAGTTAATGAATGGATCCTGCCTAAAACTTGAGAAACTTAAAAGTAGATGTTACTCTTGTAACTAGAACAAAGTGTTATCACACAAGTAGTTGAATGGCTGAGCTAGGGTTTGAACTCCAGTAATCTGGCTTCAGAGCCTAGGCTCTTCATCTTAACCAGATTGTTCTTTAACAGCATGAAATAGAACACAGAACCGCTGACTTTCGAACTCAACTGTAATGATTCTTAAGTATTATAAATCAAGATTGGATTGTTGTGGTTAAGACTGCATTTTTTTTTGTGATAGGCATCCTCTGCGTTAATGGAGGGTCTAATGGAATATTTAAAAACATACATTATGTGGTAAATGATTTACAATATATGGTAAATCTTTTGGGAGGAAATTATGATTAGGAAACAATATCATCCATGTGTTTAAATGTTTTCCTAGAATTAGATAAGGTAAAATACAAATGAAACTGAGCATTTTATTTAGAATTTGCTTAGAAATTTTGCATTAATTTATTTAGGGTTATTATTGACAACTGAAGATTCTGAACTGTTCGACTTGAAGGAAATATCCCACAAGGTTAATTAATAGGAATCACTTCTGACTTTATACTCCGTGCCAGTTTTCTGAGTTCTTTACAATAAGCCTGTTTTTTTCCTTGCAAATTAAGAAATAATGTGGTTAATAGAATGGTTTCTAACAATATACTACACATATTAGCTTCAATAAATTCTAGAAACCAGAATGTGCTGCTATTGTTTTGTGTTTTTTCCAGATAGTATTCCAAGTCTACAAAATTGAGTACCTTTCTCCATGTGTTTTTTGTTTTTTTTTTTTTGAGACGGAGTCTCGCGCTGTGTCACCCAGGCTGGAGTGCAGTGGCGCGATCTCGGCTCACTGCAAGCTCCGCCTCCCAGGTTCACGCCATTCTCCTGCCTCAGCCTCCGAGTAGCTGGGACTACAGGCGCCCGCCACCACGCCCGGCTAGTTTTTTGTATTTTTAGTAGAGACGGGGTTTCACCATGTTAGCCAGGATGGTCTCGATCTCCTGACCTCGTGATCCACCCGCCTCGGCCTCCCAAAGTGCTGGGATTACAGGCTTGAGCCACCACGCCCGGCCTCTCCATGTGTTTTAAGATTCATTAGACTTTCATTGTAACACAAACGTTATCACAGTACTGTAATGTTTAATGTTAACATTTTCTGGTTTCCAGTTGAATGCCTTTAAGTATAATCTGAGGTGAGACTTATTTTAATGAGTCAATGGATTGACTTTAAGGGAAGTGGTCTGTGAGAGCCAAAATTTAGTTAACTGCTGCTCTAAAGACAGCTTATTTGTTAGAAACATGAGTTGAATCTTGGCCCCTCTCACTAAGTTACAGTCCTTTATCTACAAAATTACACTTACCTCATAGGGTCCTGAAGAATAAATGCACAGCATGTAACACAGTACCTGGTGGTACAGTAAACACTTAGTCAACATGAGCTATCATTAGGGCTAAGCACTGGACAAATTATCTCCAGGTATTGCAAGGTATTTTCTTCAGTGGGCTGTGAATATAATTTTGAATTTTCATGGGAAATTAATCCACTTAAAACATTGTAATTAGTAAAGAAAAGTCTGATTCTAATTGTTTCATTGTCCTAACATAGTGATTTATGAACGCTTTTCTGCCCTTGTGGTGGTTCACTTACCTCCATGTGAGAAGTAGTAGAGTTGCTTAGATGCCGTTATTTCTACTGACCTTGAACAAGTGACGAGAGCATGATTTCCATGAAGCAGTCACCATGAATCTGAAATCACACCTTCAGTTTTAGTTCTTTTGCTTTGTTTTTTAACAATTTTGCTTTTTATGTTTTCCCAGAATCACCATGGTCGATTACTTCTGCTCATCTCAACATCTCGTTCTCGTTCCTAAGCACGATGTGAGAACTTGCCTTCCCGTGACCTCTCCTGGGCTCAGTGACACTCCAGTCACTGCCCCACCCCCCACCAATACCACTTCCAAGTTTGACTTGCATCTTACAAACCATATTTCTGTTTACTTTTTTTCTGCTCTGGGACATTTTTAATAACTTTTAGATAACAACTTTAACAAAAATTTATCTCCCACCAAGAGAAGTTGTCTTTATTCCCAAGAAGGGGAATAACTTGCTCTTTAAGTCAGTTTTATTACAGGTAAATTTGTACCAGCTTTTTCCTCTACTTGTATTAAGACCTGTCTCCAGTAGACATTCCGATTGAGGATTGTGGAAATAGCAAATGACATTGGTGTCTGCCCACCACTGAAGGCAAAAAGCTGGTTTATCTAGGCCACAGGCAGAGCTTGCAGGGGAGGCAGGTAACCTCTTGGATCACCAGATTATTTTGATCATTATTTTGATCTTCAGCCAGCTTTATTGTTGTTCTGCATTTTAATAAACAATACATTTTTATTTTATTTTATTTTATTTTTTTGAGGCAGAGTCTCACTGTTTTGCCCAGGCTGGAGCACAGTGGTGAGATCTCGGCTCACTGCAACCTCCACCTCCAAGGTTCAAACAACTCTCGTGCCTCAGCCTCCCGAGTAGCTGGGACTACAGACACACACCACCATGCCCAGCTAACTTTTCTATTTTTGTAGAGATGGGGTTTCGCCAGGTTGGCCAGGCTGATCTCGAACTCCTGACCTCAATTGATCCTCCCACCTCAGCCTCCCAGAGTGCTGGAATTACAGGCATGAGCACTGTGTGCCTGGCCTGTTTAATTATTTTAAAGATTACAGTATAGGTTTCTAGGAAGCCTAGATGGAGGTTCTCATTCTAGGTAATATTTAGCTATTGAATAAAAATTTATTTTCAAAACCTTAAAGTTTATGGATTACATACAATACAATTTTTGACTTGGCGCATGAATGTATTGAAATGAACTTGATACCATTATATTCACTTTAAAGCATATTGACACAATTTCCTAGAACCAATCTTTAATGACTATTCCTGAAACTTTTCATATTTGTCATATTTTTCCATTTCAACTATGTTATTTATTTATTTATTTTAATTTTTTTGAAATGGAGTCTTCCTCGGTCACCCAGGCTGGAGTGGAGTGGTGCGATCTTGGCTCACTGCAACCTCCTGCCTCATGGCTTCAAGTGATTCTCCTGCCTCAGCCTCCTGAGTAGCTAGGATTACAGGCACATGCTACCACACCTGGCTAATTTTTGTACTTTTAGTAGAGACAGGTGTCGTCATGTTGGCCAGGCTGGTCTTGAACTCCTGATCTCACGTGATCTGCCTGCCTCAGCCTCCCAAAGTGCTGGGATTACAAGCCTGAGCCACCACACCCGGCCTCAACATGTTATTTAAATCACTAGTGCCTGAGCTAGTTATTTAAATCACTAGTGTTATTATAACAACATGTTATTTAAATCACTAGTGCCTAAAGTGATATAGTAATAGCTCAAATAATCATAAGGATATTTTCAGAATAAAAAAGAATATCATGGAAGTTATTACCCAAGTAAAACTGTATTTTACCTCCTTCTCTCAACTATAAATAAGAGGTCAGGAATATTGTCTATCTTAGTTACCATTATATTTCCAACAAAAAGTAATAAAGGAAAGAGTGAAAGAAAAGAGGAGGAAAGATGGAAGGAATATCCTGAAATCCTGTCATCCAAAATAACTATCATGACATCTGGTATATATAACATAATATTTTACCTAAATTCTTATACAAGGATAATATATGTAAGATATTTATATTTATTTATTTTTAATTTCTCAGCAAAAGTGATACTCAAATACGTAAGGTGTTTTAAACAATATCACAAGTGCTGAAGAGGTAAAACACATAAGAGCCAAAAGAGTGAAGACTGATACAACAGACTATAACTAGAAATCCTTCTAGCCATCATCCAGGGAATGGAACTATACATGAGATTGAAATATGGTTATAGCTGAACCTACTTGCTTGGTTTTTTAAAGCTTTACACAATTGATTCAGGATAATTATTGTGTTACCTTGATCCTGAACAAAGCTTCATTGTTAGTACTGCTACATTAAAAGTCCTAGTGAGTGAAACAGAGGATATAGTCTAGTTCAAGGGCCAAGAGAAGGTATCAAAATCTTTCATTGGTTTGTCAAAAAACCCCACCTTTAGAAATTCCTGAGAAGTGCAGTGGCTCATGCCTATAATCCCAGCACTTTCATAGGCCAAAGTGGGAGAAACACTTGAGGTCAAGAGTTCGAGACCAGCCTGAGGAAATAGCGAAATCCAGTCTCTACAAAAAAGAAGGAGGAAGAGGAGAAGGAGAAAAGGTGCACAAATTCCTAATTTTTTTTCCTCCACTTTATAAAAGAAAGGCATTGTTCTGACCCATCCCAAATACTGCTGTAGATATGCAAGCTGTCATGGGCCACACATAGGTGAAATCTTCATAATAATTCATTGAGCTATCATAAACCCATAAGACTTGCTAAATTTCTCTTCTTTATAAATATGGGTAAAGCTTTGTATATTGTGGCTAGTGTACACTGTATTATTCAATGAGGGAATTAGAACACATTTTTGTCAAATCATAAAATATACATTACAATTACTATGAGTCCTCATCTTATAAAATGTTTAAAATTGTTAACTTTTAATTTAAAAAATATATTATTTTAAAAATAGCTGCTAAATTTGTTTTTAGTAGACTAAAGCATTCTATTTCATTAGATTTATTTTAAAAGTTGAATCATGATTTTTCTCAAGACCTGCATTTCTAGTAAATCTGTGGCCAAGATTGTCGAGCTATTTACCCAATGCATTTCTAGAATGCTAGACTGCATTCCTGCCCTCCTGCTCTTTCAGGTTTGCCAATATAATTGGTTCTGGTTATTGGAAAGCAGACGAAGTAAGGGGCTCCACTACTAGACTTGGCCACATGCCATCTTCATGCTCATTCCTTTCTTCTTCAGCTATACGGAAGCCATATGTTGAAAACAACAGAGCCCTGAGGAGTGGCCCTGAATCACCACCTAGTCCTTTTGGGAACTCTATATTAAATCAAGAAACAGCTTTTAATTATATTAAGCCACAAGATTTTGTACTTTATCTGTAACAGTAGCTAATATTATCTTAAGTGATAATAACAAATTTATTGCTTATGTTTAATAATTACCAGAATGTGTATCTATTTTTGGTGTCTTGATCAATTATGTATTAATATTTGTAATAACTCAAGAAAAATTTTTATCAACTAGAACCACTTATAGTCAGAGTTAAATAAAATTTTAAATTATGTACTTATTTTTGTTGTAATACATATACGTATCTGGTGGTCAATAATATTTTCAAACATAAAAGCATTATGGCAAAAATCCAGAAAAAATCGGATAGAAATACAAGCTCAAGGAGAAAAAGGAAAGATGTAAGCTTTCTAAATGTTAAAGAATAACTTGCTCATATATTTTTAAAAATAGATCCAAATGTTATATTTGGATTTCATTGGATTCACTTAAAATGAAATTTATAATATGCTGGAAATTATGACCTATGCAATTATTTAAAATTATAAAAAATTTAGATGTCAACTTAAAGCTTCGTGAGGGATATATAGTTTATGAAAATTATTTTAGGGGATTTTCAAGCAAAAAAGTGTAAATGCACTGACGAAAAGGGGAAAGGGCATGCTTTGGAGTTAAGTAGCCCTGCATCCAAACTCTGCTTTTGCTATACGACTGGGCAAGTTAGATTAACCCATTGGCCCTTATTCTCCTTCAATAAATTAAATGAAAATACATGTAAAGTGCTATCTGGCACTAACCTGCTCTTGCTATTAAAAATCTTAAGTACTTCTAGGAAGGAAAAATTAGCCACTCAGGTGAAAATTAATTCATCAGAGCCCATATTTCTGAGAGTAGATAAAAAAATTAGGTACAGAGGGGAAAGAACTTATTTGGGAGAGAAAGGATAATTTTAGAACATGTAGTGTGAGCCAAGAGAAGAAGCTCTGTTACATGGCAAAATGATACTGGATGGGACCCTATTTTGGAGGACATCCGGAAAGGTTGGCGAGGCTGTATATAAAGGAAAAGTGAGAAGAAAGCGCACATTTGCTTCCATTTGCCTTGGTTTTAGTCTACCATGCAATGAAAATAGCTCTCATATTTTAAAGTCACTCAAAAGATTGCTTTTAAGTGGGTGTAATGATTTTCTATGTACCCTAAATTACAATATGTGCTTTATGAACCTCCTCCCTTGTGTTCCACGTGACTCCTATTTTAAGTAGATCCAAAGTGATACCAGAGTTAACCAGGTCAACTGCAATCTGTGCTTATTTCCTTTAATTCTTTTAAATCCCTGAGAGAAATAAGACATTAAGTTAGCAATTTCTTCATCTAATACCCCTGATTACAGTGTGTATCTATTGAGACATCGGATAAACGCTAGTGGCCACGGCTGGAACGGAAGCTAGGGAAGGCTGTGGAGTTGCAAAAGTTCCTGTGTGCTAAACAGGAAAGATGCAGTTAAAATAATACCTGGCATTGCCTGACCTTTCTATTCCTTCATGAGCTACCTTAAAATTCAGATTTGTTGCTAAAGTTCTTGTATTTAGGAAGGGATCAGAGAAAGTCACAAGAGAACCGTAGTTTGAAAATCAGTAGCCAATGTTGGTAGGAGTATAAATTGGCACAAAACCTCTGTGGTTAAAAATTTAGCAATAGCTTTCAAAATTTTAAGTGCATTTGCCATTTGACCTGGCAATTCCACTTCTAGGAATTTGCCCTGCAAACAAAATCTTTGCACCTGTGTGCAAAGATGTAAATACTCATATAGTCTTTACTTTAAATAGCACAAGATTATAAGCAACTTGAGTATTTGTCAATAAAAGTGATTAATTTTTATTGTATGGTCATGTAATTGAATTCTATTAAGTATGACAGCTCAACAGTTGATAAGGAAGAATGGAATATTCCTTAAGGAGTGATCTGTAAGATATATTAACTAAAACAGGTAAGGCACACAGCACTGTGTCTTCCATCTTTTGGTTAAAAAAATACACAAATATGTTCATACTGTATACAAGAATATCCTTACAAGGATAAATAGTAAAGTGATAATAATGACTGCCTGTAGAAAGAGTTATATGAGAGAGAATTTTTACCCTATCACCTTTTGAATTTTGTGTTATATGCATATTTAAAAAATTTTTTTTTAAGAAAGTTCCTAAACTTCACAAGGCTGAGAAACTAAGATGTGTTGCTGTTGACTGGTCTTAACAGCCCAAATACCATGTAGAAGACAATATGTGGTGCAAAAGCATTTGGTTTTGTTATAAAGACAAATAGTACAGCATGTATGTATATCCCTTCTGGACTTGTGGGTATTGGGATTTTTAAGCAGGAGATAATAAATTATGCCCCCTTTGTTCCCCTTTAGTGTGCTGCAACAAATCAGATATACCTAGGAGTCAGAC